GTCTATGGGCTTACCTTGTTTTACTGTGCTTTGCTGATACTGCGTTTTTTACAAATTGAAGGTTTGTGGTAAACCCACATCAAGCAAATCTGTTCGCACTGTTTTTCCAGCAGCCTTTGCTCACTGTCTCTGTGTCACATTTCAGTAATTCTTGGAATAGTTCAAACTTTTTCATTATTATTATATTTGAATTGCTACAATTTCATGATAAAATTTTAACAGATGAGAAGTTTCTTCTTATGGATGAGCAAAGAAAGCGGTTCCTTTTTTTTTTTTTTTTTTAGGATTTTATTTATTTATTTGAGAGAGTGAGCAAGCATGAGCCAGGGGAGGAGTGGCAGAGGGAAAGGGAAAAGCAGACTCCCCACTGAGCAGGCAGCCCAATGATGTGGGGCTCGATCCCAGAACTCTGGGATCATGACCTGAGCTGAAGGCAGACGCTTAAATGACTGAGCCACCTAGGCACCCCAAGAAGGTGGTTTCTTGAGATGACATCTATTCTTGGTAGATGCTGCGAAGATGGCTGAAATGACAACAAAGAGTTTAGAATATACATAAACTGAGTTGATAAAGCAGAGGCAGGGTTTGAGAGGATTGACTCCAGTTTTGAAAGAAGTTCTACCTTGGGCAAAATGGTGCCAAACTGCACTGTATGCTATAGAGAAATCCTTCATGAAAGGAAGAGCCCATGGATGCAGCAAAGTTCACTGTGGTCTTTTTTTTTTTTTTAAGATTTTATTTATTTACTTTGACAGAGTGAGAGAGACAGCAAGAGAGCGAACACAAGCAGGGGGAGTGAGAGAGGGAGAAGCAGGCTTCCAGCAGAGCAGGGAGCCCGATGCGGGGCTCGATCCCAGGACCCTGGGACCACGACCTGAGCCGAAGGCAGACGCTTAACGACTGAGCCACCCAGGCGCCCCAACTGTGGTCTTATTTTAAAAAATTGCCACAACCACCCCAGCCTTCGGCATCCACAGCCTGATCAGTCAGCAGCCATCCATACGGAGGCAGGACCCTCCACCAGCAAAAGGGTTGGGACTCACTGAAAGCTCAGATGACAGAGTTTTTTAGCAATAAAGTATTTTTTAATTAGAGTATGTACATTTTTTAGACATCATGCTATTGCACACTTAATACACTGCAGTATAGTATAAACATAACTTTCATATACACTGGGAAACTGAACAATTCATTTTGACTCAATTTTTGAGGAGGTCTGAACCTGTACCCATGATATCTCCAAGGTCTGCCTGTAGATTCAACCCACTTTATATTCTTTTTTTAAATTGCTTTAGCTATTCTAGTTCCTTTGCGTTTCCATATAAAAGTTAGAATAATTGTGTCTATTTCTACAAAAATCTTGCTGGAATTTTGATAGGAATTATGTTAAACCATCTATCAGTTTGGGGAGAATTGACATATCTTCACTATGTGAAGTCTTCCAAACCGTGAGTATGGTATGTCTCTTCATTTATTTAGATTTTTATTTCTTTCTTTCATCGGTGTTTTGTAGTTTTCAGCATACAACTCATGTGTATGTTCTGTTATATTTACACCTAAGTTTTTGGTTTTTGGGTTTTTTTTTTTTTAGTGTTTATACGGTAGTATTGTGATTTTAATTTCAGTGTCTACAGAGTCATTGCTAATATATGTAAATACAATCAATTTTGTATATATATCTTGTATCCTGTGCCCTTGCTGAACTCATTTTTTAGTTCTAGGAGGGTTTTTTTGTAAATGCCTTCGAATTTTGTGTATACAATCATGTAATCAGCAAACAGAGATAGTTTTATTTCCGCCTTTCTGATCTGCTTTCCTTTTCTTGCCTTGTCGCACTGGCTAGAACTTCTAGAACTTCTAGCACAGTGTTTAATGAGCATAGTGAGAGCAGACATCCCCGCCTTGTCACAGTTTAAGCAAGAAGCTTTCAGTCTTTCACCTAATGTGAGCTGTAGTTTTCTGGTTGGTGTTCTTTATCCACTGGAAGAAGGTCTCCTCTATTCCTGCTTCTCTGAGAGTTTATGAAATGAACAGATGTTAAATTTTTTTCAAATGTTTTTATAAACTGATATGATCATGTGTTTTTTTTTCTTTAGCTATTAATATAGTAGATTACATTCATTGATTTTCAAATATCCAACCAGCCTTGCATCCCTGGAATTAACCCCATTTGATCTTGGTGTATAATCATTTTTTATATTTTGCTGAATTCAAATAGCTAATATTGTGTTAAGGATTTTTACATCTGTATTCATGAGGAATAATGGTCTGTCCCTTTCTTTTTTTGTTGTCTTTGTCTGCATTTGGTATTAAGTTAATACTGGCTTCATAAAATGAATCGGAAAGTGTTCCCTCCTCTTCTCTTTTCTGGAAGAAATTGTTTAGAAATGTGTTAATTCTTCTTTAAATGTTTAATAGGATTCTCCAGTGAAACCATCTGCACCAGGAAATTTTGTGGTGGGGTCGGAGGGCTTTAAAATGAGAAATTCAATTTCCCTAATAGTTTAAGGCTGTTCAAATTACCTATTTCATGCTGGGTGAGTCTGGTAGTTCATGCTTTTCTAGGAATTGCTCCATTTTCCTCTAAGATTTCAAATTTCTGTGTGTAGAGTTGTATGTAGTGTTTCCTTATTATCCTTCAGGGTTTGTAGTCATATCCCCCCTTCATTCCTAATACTGCGAATCTGTGTCTTCTCCGTGTGGTATTTTTGCCAATCTTGCTAGAGATTTGTCAGTTTATTAATATTTTTAAATAACCAGCTCTTGGCTTCACTGATTTTCTGCATTGTTTTACTGTTTTCTTTTTCATTGATTTCTGTTCTTTATTACTTCCTTCCTTTCTTCTGCTCTTGCTGTGCGTTTATTTTGCTCTTCGTTTTCTAGGCTCTTAGATTATTGAGTTGAGTTTCTCCTCTCTTCTAATGTAAGCATTTAGTGCTATAAATGTCCCTTTCAGCACTGCATTATCTATGTCTCACAGAGTTTGGGTGTATTCTATTTTCATTTTCATTCAGTTCAGGGTCCATTTTTATTTCTTTTGAGATTTCCTCTCTGACCCATGAATTACTTAGGGGCGTATTGTTTAATTTCCAAGATTCTCCTATGATCTTTCTGTTACTGACTTCCAGTTGGATTCTCTTATGGTCAGAGACCATATTCTACATGGTTTCAGTTCTTTTAAATTTGTTGAGGTTTTCTTTGTGGTCCAGGATATGTCTTGGTCTGTCTTCCTCTATGCTTCCTAGGCATCTGAGAAGAGTATGTGTTCTGCTATCATTATGTGGAGTGGTCTCTTTCCTGTTTGATGGGCTTCTCAATTTATGTCCGGTCTTCAAGATCATTAACTCCCAAAGGTTATGCAATACATTATTTCTCCCAAGGATTTCAGAATAAGTGATCTAAAATCCTGCTGAGTTCACCAAGGAAGCCCGTGAAACTTTCTCACTGGTGGCTCTTGTCAGGGGAGTCACTTTCTCTTCCCTGGTATAGGGGTAGGCCTCCCTGAAGGATAGGGCCTTGGATCAGCCAGCAGCTCCACACAGGGCTCTATGAAAATTTTACTCTTACGGTTTTGAGAGCTATAACAAGACATCGTTTTTCTTCTTCTCATCCAGTCTTAGAATGCTAAAGCCAGAGAGAACCTTGGGTCATCACCCATTCATTTGGCAAGTGAAGGGATGAGAGGTTTCAAGAGGCTAATTTAGATTGATTGTTTTTTAAATACTTTTCATGAAATTAACATATGTTCATTATAGAAATGTGTTAGATATAGAGAAACAAAAATAAGAAAAAAGTTTATATATAATCTTACAACCAAAAAATAATTACTATCATTATTTTGGAGTGTATCTTCCCAATGTCTTCAAAAATGAGATCACACTGTATTACCGTTTTACAGTCTCTCTCTTTTTTTTTTTTTTGCTTTAACAATAGATATGAACATTTTCCAGAATGTTATTTCTGATAGCAGAATGTATTTCCACAGACCAGATGTACCATCACTTATTTAATGTCTACCTGATGGACACTTCGGCTGTTATGGTTTTCACTAGGTTAAATAACACAACGATGAACATTTTCTATGTGCGTACACGTCCTTCTTCCTAGGAATGGATCATTAGATCAGAACATGGGAACATTTTTTTGCTCTTGAGCCCCATCACCAAACTGGATAATTGAGATTTTTTTGTTCGTTTGGGCAGGTTTTGCTTGGTTTTCATTTGTTTGGGTTTTAGCAGAGGGCTAGCCAACAGAGAGTACATGACTCAGGAGCAAGTCTTGTGTAGGTTCTCAGGGTTTTAGGGCGTGAACAAATGGCCACCTGGAGCCAGGGCCAGCTCTTTCCCTTCCCAGGAGCAGGGAGTGCTGGAAAGAACAGTGCCGTGAGCATCTGTGCTTTCCTATGAGGCCTCTGGCACGGGGCCCAGCCAGGAAACAGGAAAACTGGCAGGTTATAGTCAGCCTGGGACCTAAACCTAGTGAAGCCACCACCCCGCCCAGGGTTACGTGCCAGGCAACAAAGGGACAAACTTGCTTACCCCAGCCTGCTTCCTCTCTCCAGGACCTGCCATGAGATGAGAACACTGTGTTTTACATTTGAAATACGCCTTGAACTCACCTTGTCCTAGTAATTACCCCCATAAAGTGGAGCAGGGCACTAAGTGAAAACTTCCTGTATTTAGAGACGCAGTCCTGCCTGCTTTCTATGGCTGGTGCAGACTACAGGAGGACCAGGGTCCGGTCACTCTGCCGAGAGACCTCTGAGAGACGGGTTGGTGGGAGCAGGCCAGGAAGGGAAGGAGCGTCTGAAGGTGGACAGGAAGACTGCAGGCCCTGGAGAGGCCTTAGCGTGCTGACGGTGGGCCCGAGGGTCCCTCCAGGTAACCCAGGCAGCTCCGTGCCGCAGCGTTGGTGCCACCTGCCCACAACATTCCGATTCGGGCCACCATGATCCACAGACTTTTCCCCTTCTCCATCTGTCTTTCTTTTTTGGTCCGTAGAGAAAGAAGAATTAATCCAGAGTGTGCTGACCCAGGTGGCAGAGCAGTTCTCAAGGTACAGAATCTTCTAGACACATAGTCCCTGGAGAGGTATGCCTGTCTGTGCACGGCAGTGGTGCGCCCTCGCCCGGAGGCCATGTGGGCTGGCAGGCTCTGACACATCGCTCACCTGGAGGAGTGGCCTTCCAGACGGAGTCCTTTTATGACTTCTGTAACGAAGCCAGGGCGGATGGGGTCCAGGAAGCAGTCCCCTTTTACCAAAGACCTCAGCAAGTGGGCACTTTGAAAGTGGGAGCTCGTGTTGCTGAGACTTTTCTCCACTGGCTCTTCTGGGACTCAGAGTTCAACCTATGAGAATTGACACCATTTTTTAAGTGGGCTTTAAAATAAGCATTGCCATGGAGATCCTGTGTAGACGTGGGACTTCTTTCCGTGATGAGTTATCCTACCAGTTCCAAAGGAATGCTTTCCGTTGCTCAGTCACTGCACTGTGGTGTCTCACTGTCCCGGGGGCCTACGGTGATACATCCTTAAAGGCTGAGTGGTTACAGTGAACGGGCTGGAGCCTGGAGAGGGCACACCGGGTCCCCTGCAGGGGTCTGTGCCCAGCAGGGCAGGGGGCGGGGGCTGGGCCGTCCCTGCTGGGAGCAGGGGTTGGGGGGCCTCCCTGGAGAGCAGGTGTGGGGGAGTAAACACACCTGCCAGCCTTTTGTCATGGAAAACAGGCCCTGGCGATCCTTTGAGGGTGTGTTTCTTTCCTCCCCGCCCCTCGGAGGCCTTGAGCGCCCTAGCGTCCTGTGCCCCTTACAGGGGTGAGCCCACGGAGAGGGGGTGGAGCCCACCGGAGGCCTCGCCCAGGCAGGGGGTGCAGCAGAGGTTTGCCATGCCCATTTCAACTTTGAGAATTTTAAGAGTGATGACTTTTTTTTCATTCCTAGAGCATTTAAAATCAACGAACTGAAAGCAGAAGTCGCAAATCACTTGGCCGTGCTAGAGAAGCGCGTGGAATGTGAGTGCAGTTTCTGTTTCCTTTTTGCTTGTCTTTTAACCTCTGTTTAAATTAACTGCGTTCCCCCCCCCCCCGGGGGCTGAGGGGCGAGGAGAGGGAGGGGAAGCTGGAGGTACGTGGGAATGTCTTCTCTTTGTGAATGCTTAAAAATTACCTTTGATGCTAATGGAGATGAGAGCAGTGAGCATCTGTTTATACCATGAAAGTTGCTTGGTGACCAGGGACAGGTCAGGAGCGCACGGTGCCTCGGGCCGCCGCCCCTGCTCGGAGGCAGCACGTGGAGGCGCTCCTTCGGGGCAGAAGAGGACAGAATGAAAACTCGAAGCCCCCCAGACCGGCCTCCTTGGGAGAGGACCTTCTGCTGCCCATCTTCGCGTCTCTTTTTATGTAAACGAGGCAAGCCAATACACACAACTGTTTGAGGAATATGCCTGCCAAATCGTTAGCTCTTGGTTCCCCATCACCACTGAGGCAAGCAGAAAAACTTGCAGCAATCAAGGAGGGTTGGTTCGGGTCTTGACTCAGGGACCAAACAGCTGAAACTGGGAGGGGGACAGCTTCCATCTCTCACCCTCTCTGTCCTCGTCCATGAAATAAGGAGCAATGCTGGAATTCTCACGCTTCACGACTCCCCATCCAACTCACACATCTTTGTCAAGATCAAGGCAAAGGGCAGCCTATTTATTAAGCTCAGGGATGACGAGACCAAACCTGAACCCGAGGCCGGCAGGGCTGTGGCGTCCCCAGACGGCATCTGGCTGATTCGTATGCACAGGATGCACTGAATGTCACTTTCCATATCTTGTATGAATTGCTTGGATTTTTTTTCAAGAAGAATATTCAGGATCATGCAAAAACCTATTCACCTTAATAACTTGAAACATGACACTACATAGTCCTACTTCTCAGAGTATGCTGGCATTCAGAAAATCCATTTGATATTCTGTCTTCAAAACCGATTTATTTTCTCAATTGATGACAAAGAAGCCACAAAGAGATTAAGTGACCCGCTGAAGCTCATCCAGCAAATTGGAAAAGTAAATAAGACTGAGGTCTGGGCGGGGCCACTCGAGCAGTGCAGGACCCCCGGGGGCACCTGGGTGGGCAGGTTGGGAAGCAGCCACACATGCCGGTTGTGGCTGCATTCAGCAGAAAAGGGGTTTCTTCCTAAAGGATTCTGGGGAGCTACCAGGAGGCTGGGAAGTCTCAGTAGCAGGGCTCGCTCGGTGACTATGCAGCAGGAGCAAGATCCCCAATGCCTCGCAGAGCTGATGCCGTGAGGATACCACATCTGAGCCCCAGACGCACGCTGTCTCCCCAGCACCCAGAGCTCTGTGCTCAGACCCCACCGTCCCCATGGCCACCGCTGCAGACATCACGCTGCTTCCTCGTATACTGGCCACAGATCCGAAGTCTGGACGGAGCAGCACCGTGTGCCCATGCCCTGGCTGCAGGGGAGTGCGGTAGCTTCCTGTGGCTTTCTCAATGGAGTACCACAAACTGGGGACCTTAAAGCAACAGAAACGGACTGTCTCACCGCTGTGGAGGCCAGAAGTCCCAGACCAGGAGGGCGGGAGGGGGTGCAGGGGGGCGGTCCTTCTGGAGGCTCCAAGGGAGAATATGCTCTGGCTACAGGCAGCTCCAGCAATCCTTGGCTTGTGACCACATCACCTCAGACCACCTCGTCTTCACACAGACCCTCCCGGAGTCTCTACGTCTCAGGCCCTGGGAGGACCCCTGTCTTTGGATTTAAGGCCCACCCTCATCCAGGATGATCTCGTCTGGAGAGCTTAATCGCTTATATCTGCAGGAACCTTTCTCTAAATAAGGTCACATTCATGAGTTCCGGGGGTCAGGATGTAAGCATATATCCTTTTGGAGTACACAATTCAACCCACTACAGTGAGCGTTTGCAGTGGGAGGCAAGCTCAGCTTCCCAACGAGCCCCATAATGTAAGGAATTCTCCAGATGCTGTGGGAAAGGATTCAGCCAAAGAACACAAAAAGCATTTGCTGCTGATTCACCTTCTATGTTTACAGAAGCGCAGAGTCGCCCAGATGTACCCGGGGCCGGCAGGTGCCTCCCGCTTGGCCTCCTCTGGGCCCGCACCAGCTTCCCCCCCCCCGCCCCCCTGCCCCGCGTCTCTCCCAGAAGCAGCACCAGCTCCTGCCTGTCCTTGCAAACAGGAAAGTTGAGAAGGCCATTAACGAATTTTCAAAACTCCTCCAGAACACTGTGTTGACCTCAGCTGCTGAAGCTTCTGGTATCTGGCCATGGAGACAGTGATCAGGCCGAGAAGTGTTTTGATTCTGCCTCCAAGCGGTGTGTGAACTGAGGACTACAGGACCCGGCACCTCTGACCTTCTCCCCTCCCTGGCCTAGCCCCAAATCCTCCAGAACTCGGTCTCCCTGTAGGCCCTCGTGTCAATCACATAAATCACGCAAATGCACACACATATAAACACATGCATGAACATGCAGAGACCTATGCACACAGCTGCTTGCACACAAGCTTATGCACATGCACACACGTAAGCACGTGTGAACACGCAGAGACGTGCACACAGCTGCTTGCCACATGCTTATGCACACGCACACACATGTAAGCACACGTGTGAACATGCAGAGACACACACAGCTGCTTGCACAATGCACACATGCTTGCGTGCATGCTTACACACGTGTGAACACACAGGGACATGTGCACTCAGCGGTTGTGCACATGCACACACATGCTCATATGTAAGCACATGTGTGAACATGCAGAGATATGCACACACATGCCTGCACACATGCTTACACACAAGTGAACATGCAGGGGCATGTGCACACAGCTGCTTCCACACATGCACACATGTGCTTACACATGCACACATGTAAACGCTTACACGAAGATGCAGACACGCAGGCACACACACCCTCACACATACACACACCCCCACATGCACACCTCGCGTGCATGCATGTGTAAACACAGAGACACACGCACACACGGACGCACACGTGCTGTGTCTGGTACACGGGAGCTGCTATTTGTTGCTGTCTGTGCTTGAGCTGAAGGAGGCCTACGGCTGGGACTGGCCATGTCTAAGCCACATTATGCTGGTTTGACTTGTTTTAAGCGGATTCCTGCTTTTTTTTTTTTTTAACTTCTAAACATAATTCCTCTGAATCAAATATAAATATCTGAATTTCTCTTAATTCACTTTAGAAGCTTTTCTTCCTTTTTATCTAAGTCGTTTTCCTTCTTCAAGGGTGTCTGAGGTCTTGCTTAGGTTAGAAATTATTTCACAGACACGGGACACCCAGGTCCTCACCTCGCTTCCCGGTTGGAGATGAAACCTCACGGGGCCTCCACCTCCTTCCTTGTTTGTGGGATGTGGCCGCGGTGCCCAGCGCCCTGCTCCGGGGCCCAGGCCTGGACCAGACCCCAAACACCGGGAGAGCTGGCCTGCGGGACGGAGTTTAATGCTGGGTCACACAAACAACCCGGAAGACTCGAAGCCGAAACCCAAGCTGTTCTCTGTGTCACCCGGGACATGTGGCTCATGCACATTCTTTGCCGAACCCTCTGGAGGAAGTGTTGGAATACAGCTGTAGCCATACGTGTATTTAACGAACTTCCGTGAGCTCTGCAGCTGAAGGAGGGTCTCGCCGGCTCTGGCGGCCTCTCGGGGGAGCCCAGCGAGCTGGTGGGGAAGGGGAGGGGGCAGAGCAGCCTCCGTGGCTTGTGCTATTGTCTCTGCCCACTGAACCCCTTCCCCAAAGCCGGCACCCCTCTTCCAGAATCATTCCCAGAGGTTCTCCTTCAGGGTGAGCTGTGACTTGCAGAGTACCGCGCCCCCGCCCTTCATGACTCCCGAAGTCTTAGAGGGGACTGCCAGGCTCGCAGGGATGCTCCTTGTCGGGGGGGCTCCAGCAGCCCTCCAGGGCTCTAGTTTGGGGTTCCGCTCTGTGCCCACCTGTTTAAAGTTTGCAGGTGGACAGATGAGGCTGCCCTGTAGGGACCTGACATCCAGCCTCACTGGAGAGCTGTCTCCAGGGTCTGTGCAGGACTTCTCAGGGGTAGGGCCCTGCTCCTAGGCCGGGCCCTCTCCCTCCCATGGGACCGGGGCAACGCAGGGCTGGGACAGGCCAAAGCTAAGCTGTGGAATCTTCCAGAAATGGCCTGGAAGGGGCGGGAGCAGTGGTGGCAGGTGCGTGGTGCTCTGGCTGCCGCCCCCGCCCCCGGACCCCCTCACCCCCTGTGTTCCGCCTTTAATCCTGTGACATGTTTGTTCTGTCCATCGATTAATGCCCAACTTTGCCATCTTGTTACTCATTATCAATTTCCTTGGCAACGAGGCTCTTCATAAGCGTAATCGCCATGAATTCTGAATCTCTGGGATTCAAATTAGTAATATTGTTCTGTGTCGCCCAAAAGTCTGAATTTGAACATCACCCCCTAATAAATGGCCCGGAAATCTGATCTACATGAACCAATACTGAATAATCAAAACTTACACACCCACCAAAAGCCATGAGCCAGGAGGCAGCTGCTAACACCGGGCGTGTCCTTAATTTACTGATGACAGTAAAAAGCAAATGAGAAAACACAAGCAGCATGATCCCAATTTTGTCTTTTTAAAACTCCGGATGGACAGATAGCTGTTTCCAACGCACAGGGGTGGGAGAGAAACGCCTGGAAAGATCCACACCACTATACATAATAAATGGGTTGTTCTCTGGGCCAACAGGACTGTAGATAAATTTTACAACATTCTTCTTGGAGATGCTCTGCATTTCCTATGTGTGTTTAAAATGCAGTAAATGTAACCGCGGACTTCGGCAGGCACAGCCACCCTGTTTGGACTTTATACTGCTTGTCTATTTCCTTTGAAGATCGAAGTCTATACCACATACCAGAACTCTTCTCCAGAACTGCTTACTTTCTGGAAATGTCTGCCCTTCACATGTCAACAAGACTGAGCTCCTTCCCACGGACTTTGAATCTGCCATGTGCTGAGGTCAGCGTCCCCGCAGCAGACGCAGCTGGAACTGTGGCTCCCCCGCGTGCCAGTCTCCTGCAGTGTGGCCCAGGGCCTGGACACGGCGCTCTGGGAGATCCAAACCAGAAGGGGTGGGAGCTGGTGTGCTTTTCTCGAAGGAGGACCTTTGGCTTCCAGCCACTTCCCAATGGGGTCCATGATGCAAGGAAGCGCTAAGAACACCCCATTCCAGAAGGCAGTTGTGGGCTCTTAGTGAGGGAGTGGACCATCCCTGAGGTCAAATTCTCTGTGTTTCCCCACCTGGCTGGTCCCAACCCCTTGCACTGACAGCCCTGGGCTTTGGTCCCGTGTCTTGCGGGGGGGGAGCCTTCGGTACAACATCCCCCGAGTGGCACAGAAGCAAGTCACCAAAACCACGTCCGAATATCAGATCCTCCAGATTCCCACCACTTTGGGCAGAAAGAAGCAATATTTTCAGTAGCCTTGCCCCCGCCTGAATCCTGACCCTGGAAATGCTTGGAAAACTGCCCCGGGGAGCTTGGGGTTCGGGCAGGTTGCCTTGCGTTTCTCCTCTGCAGACACTTGTCGTGGGAGGGGGTTGTTTTTCCTGGAGAAATCATTCACATCGTATTTTTAGGTATTCAGACCACGCTTGAGTAAAAAGGGGACTACAGTAGCATTGTGGGTAGTATCTTTTTGCATGAAAATTGAGGTGTGATTGCAGAGTAGCAAAGCAAATCTCTTCTGTTCCCTAAAAGCTGACTTGAACCTGAAAACCTCTGTGAAGCCACTTGCTCAGTAGCAGTATTTCTGGGCTACATGTGCACCCGCCAGAGTGAAGGTCTTGAAGCTGAGCGCTCGCTGGGAGGCATGAGCTCCAGTTCGTTCTTGGGGGAACAGTGGTGTCCGGACTTTGTAGGCCCTGTTCTGCAGGGGGCTGTGAGAATGTGAGCGAGCCCGGCTCTGCTCACCCTTGGCCGGCCCTGTTAGCGTCCCCCCCACATGAAGTCCACATCTTCTCCCGGTTAACTGCTCCAGTGGGACCTTAAAATGGGAAGGTTTTATAGCAATATGAGCTCATCCTTGCCAGGAAGGCTGGGGTTTTGCCCCCGAGCTTCTGGTCGTGTTTTCATGCACTGTGGCCTTATTTCCTCCTCTTCTTTCTGGGATAAGAGATGTCTTTGTCCCCTGTCCCCAGCTGGTGCTTAGAGGCCTGGAGACAGAAAGTGGGGAGTGGGTGCAGGAAGACTCGGGATTGTCGGGAGGGGAGCAGGGGCTCTGCCCTGCAGAAACCGCAGGGAGGGGTGCGGCGGTTCGTGCTGGCCCCAGACGGGACAGGCCCACCAGGCCAGAGTCCTTGCCCCTGAGCTGCTGGCACCCTCGGCAGCGGGGACCCCAGCAGGGGCCAGAGCCAGCTTTCTCGCAGGGCCAGACCCAGTCACCAGCCTCTCAGGGTCCTCTGCGTGTCTCCATGGCAACCCCCTTGTTTTTCTTTGTCCCAGTGGAAGGCCTGAAAGTGGTGGAGATCGAGAAATGCAAGAGTGACATCAAGAAGATGCGGGAAGAGCTGGTGGCCAGAAGCAGCAGGTAAGGTCAGGCCTGGGGAGAGCGGCCCTGCACGTGGGCCCAGGGAGGGGTGGCTCTGGGCTGCTCCCCCCAGCGCACTGCAGCAGAGCCGGACCCAGCTCCGGCCGGGGTGAGCGCAGGGTGGAGGTAGCCCGGCTCCGGCTGGGGTGGGCTTGTCAACTGCACAGTCTTAGATGGAGGTGAGGAGGATGGCTTCATTTAAAGGAGGAATAATCCTCCCGCAGATCAAAGTGTTAGGATTCACTTATCCAGCCTGAGAGAAGTTGGCATTGATTTTTAAAGAAAGGGCCCGATAAGAGGAAAAGGCATTTGGCTCACGGGGAGGGTGTCCTGGTGCCCGGAGGCCATGCTCCTGTGTGGACTTCCCCAGAGCTCAGAATAGCAGGTCACAGGGGAGATGCCACAGGGCCTCTGGCCATTCTCCACACAGAGATCACCTGTCGTGCAGAACGAGGGGTTCTCCCCTGGGGAGCAGAAATTCGTGGAAAAAACACCCCGGGCTTCCTTATACCCCCTTGAAGGCAGGTGTTTGTACAGGACCCTCTGCCAAAACTGTGGTCCCAGCAAGCATTCAGCGTGACAGCAGAGATGAATGGGGGGGGGGCGCCACGGACATGAAGCGTCTAAGTGTGGGGAGCACGGCGGCATTTAGCGGGGACAAGGAACCGAAGACTAGCCCTGCGCACCCCCCCCCCAGGCTGTCCTTGAAAGCTCACCTCCCAGTTTGAAGATCATTCCCGGGTCTTAAAACGTTGAGGGCGACCAGCTTAGTGAGGGAGGCCGGCCACGTGGAAGGCTCTTTGAAGGCAGGAGGTGAAAGGGACGCTGACGGTCATGTGAAGCCGAGGGGCTGGCTGGCCTCGGCTGGGCTCGAAGCCACGTTAGTGTGGTCTTACAGGGACCACGCCACGTTTCTATCACAGCCACTTGGCACCTGATATGGATTTGGAGATGTCTCATCCCATGTGATTTGGAAAAGTCAGGGTGAAGGACTTTGTGAAAATTTGCAGAAAATTGCGAGTGAATAATTCATGCTGGACACATCCCCTTAGTGAGAGGCTTTTTGGGGGCAGGAGCCAGAGGCCCTCGTGGGACCGGCTACGGGCCCGGGAGTCGGCTGGGCCAGGCTCAGCAGGCCGGAGGATGCTCAGGCCCTCTGCGGCCGGGGTCACGTAGTCGCCCTCTAGCTGCCACGCGCCCTGGCCAGAGTGGGTGTGTCCTGGGCAGCAATGGGACCCCTGAGGTCCCTTCCCGCCTCCGTGGGCATCACCTCACTCACAAACATGCCGACCTGAGAGCCCACAGGGCACCTGCGGGAGGCTTTTTAGAAGGCAGCCACTTGCCCCTCCTTGAATGACTAAGGCCTGCCGCCTGCCCAGAGCCGCCTCGCTGGCCCCGTCCCTGCCCCCGCGTTCCGGGGGGCTCCCTCCAGCTCCTGCACCTTCCTCCCATGCCGGGGAAGAGGGGCGTGTGCCGTCCTGGGGCTCCTGCCACCCGGATTGCCGAGGGAAGAGCTCGCCGGGTCCGGGTTGTCCCGGCGTCCCGTGGCGGCCACAAGAGCACCACGGTCCGGGGGCCTGAAACAACAGAACCGATGGCCAGAAGTCAGAGATCAAGGTGTCCACAAGGCCACGCTCCATCTGAAGGCTCCAGGGCGGATCTAGTCCAGCCCCTCTCGGAAGCTTCTGGCGGCTGTTAGCAGCCCTGGGGGCTCCTGGCTGGTCTGTGCGTTACTACAGCCTCGGCCTTCACACGGCCTTCTCCCTGCGTGTGTTCTCTGTACCCAGATGTCCCTTTCTTAAAGGACAACTGTCTTCTTGGATTAGGGCCCACTGCCCCAGTGTGGCCACATGTGAAGTCATGACACCTGGGATGACCCTCCTTCCAAAGGAAGTCACGTGCCCAGTCCTGGGGCTTAGGACTCCCCCTTCTCACTTTGGGAGGACATAATTCAACCCACACAATAGCACGAGGGGGGATACTCCCAATTTTAGAGCACATGGGAAGAAGCCTCCCCGCCGGGAGCCAAGAGGCAAACCGTGACCCACCGGCACCCGTCTAGCCCAGTGGGCAGAGCCGAGGCGTGGCGGGTACCTGGGCCCAGCTGAGGGTTGAAGCGCTCTCCCTCGCCGCCCAAAAAGTCCATTTTTAGAGCTCCCGGTGCCGTAATCCAAAGAGAAGCCTTCCCGGTGCCCTAACTGCTTCTAGAGGCGATGTTCTCGGCAGACAATATTCACAGCATCCCACGGAGGTGAGAGACGGGTAGGTGTGACTCTTTAGTCACAAACAGACAGGGTAAAACTCTCAAACGTTGCTGACACATTTAGGAAAAAGGAACCAGGTGGCCTGGGCCCGGGTCTAACCCACAGTCAGGCCACCTGCCCCGGGCCCTTCTGGGCCCCACACAAACGGCCCTTCCCTTTGCTTTACGGAGACGTGAACTCAGACGGCGAACAGGAAGCCACGTGCATCCCCCCCGTCTCTGTTGTCTGCAAGGTTCCGTTTTAACCACGCAGGGATGCCGTGCGGCATGTTAGCGTCCCCGGGACCAGGCTCCTCCACACAGGGCTTCGCCTGGGCTGGGGGCAGAGACAGGCACCCCACACAGCTCTGGTTCCTGGCTATCAACCTGGCTAGACGGCGGTCGGCCTCCCTGGGGGGACAAATTCTGCCCCGTGCCTGCACAGATGGCTAACGAGCCTGAAGGGTGGCCCCACGATCGCCTCCCCACGAGCGCCACCCAGCTGGGCCTGCGTGCCAGGGGCCCTCCGGCTCTGGGACACCCCCAGACCAGGCCATGCGCCTCCGAGACACACGCTTTGGGTTTCCCCGGGTCCAGTTTCCTGCCTAGCTGTGCACGGAGTGGAGCTTGCCGCTTCAGCCCAGGTGGGGGAGGGCTCCCCAGGGCTCCGGGGGCTCCAGTCTCCACTTCCATCCCAAACAAATGACCTTGTCCACCAGACGAGCCACGGGGCGGGGCGCTGGGAGCCCAGGAACTGAAAGCAAAAATGAGCCCCAAATAGAATGAAAAGAAAAGGCACCGTGCCAGGGGCTCTGTCTCTGGAGGAGGCTGGTTCCCGTGGCAACGGGGCACAGAGGGAGCAGGCGGGCCCCCTGGCCGAGGTGGGGGAGGGTGGCGGGAGGCGCCGGGCACGCAGCAGATGCTCCTGACACTGGGATTTTCAAGGAAGCAACTGGATTCCAGCAGGCGAACCATCTTGCTTTGTGCAAGCTTCCCCTCCCCTCCCCCTCAGGAAATACGGCCTTCGTACACGGCACGTGTGGGGATGTCTGCACGGGAGAGGCTAAGCGCAGGGAAGACAGGGTGATGCTGTGGTCTCCGTTCTCAAGGACACAGACCAAGCTCGTCACTGCTCAGAAACGTGTGGGGGGCGACTTCTCATTTATAGGGCAGCAATGGGAGACACCTACCTGGTTGGTGCCTTTTAGCGGTTCACGGGTTACTTTTGCTGAATCTGTGTTAAAATCCCCTCCCCACACGAAGTCTGATGAGTTGAGGGAAAGAATAGCAGGACGCCCAGAAAATTGTACTGAAGGCTCCTTTATCAGAAAGGACACAGAGCTATTACTCTGAGTTTGCAAGTAGCAGAGCCCCCAGGTAAAACCTCCAGACTGTACGGATGAGGGGGCAAACCCCACCTGAAATCTGGATGCTGAGCTGCTCCAATGTGTTTCTGTGTATAGAGACCTCCTTTTGAAAAGAAATACTGTGTTGTAATCTTTTTTTCACTTACTACACTGTGAGCAATAAATGGACCAAATTTGAACCAACATCCAGTTCATACGTTTTCCCAGGAAGCCACAATGCACGCTCATCTCAGCCCACCAAATGTGTTCTCTTCTCCTCGAACCTTGGTAGATTTTTTTTTTTTTTGCATTACCTTTCAGCCCATACTGTATACAACATTTCTTTTTCCTCTTTCCCCAAAAACCTTCTTACTTCACGTAATACTTGTCAATATCTTAACACATAACAGTCCGTCTTGTTGACGTACAGTAATGGTTTAAATTATTTCCCTCTCAGCAACATTGAGGTGGCTTCTGGTTTATTGTGTTTTTACAACAGATGACATTGCAGTGAATACCTTCATGCACAGAGTGGTTTGCTAGCATCTAGTTCTTTTCTTAAAATACATTCCCCAGCATAGACGCACAGGCTTAAAGGATAGGAATGTCTCATGGCTCTTACTATGCGGTATTGAAGTGCTCTCCCAGGAGACAGGACGTGATCTACAAAGTGTGTAACGTCTGAGGATAAGGGAGTATGTTCCCTTCCAGGAAGGGAGGGTTCCCAGGTGGGGAGAGGGCCACATCCAGCCCCGGGTACCAACGGCCTCAGCACACTCTCCCCTGATGCTGGACGGTAGCTTCCCTCCAGAGTACACCTGGCTGGATTTGTTCTGTCCTTACGGCGGGGAGGGGGTACCTCGATACTTAGAAGTGAAGGAAAACAGAGTCAGGAGCCTGATAGCAAATTAATCTCTAAAGGTGGGTACGGGGGGAAGCTGGAAACATCCTAAAAGTCCATGGTGGGGATTGGATTGGCAGCACGGCACCCCCCCCAGAGGCACCCCAGAAGGACATGCCTTTGACACCGAGCTCTGGGGAGCAACAAGCAGAGAGTTTGCCTTGAGCAAGGTGAAAAAAACAAGTAGCAAAAGAGTAAGTTTGAGACAGTTCCATTTTTGTTAAAAATCCAAGGCACTGTCCCTGTGTGTCCGTGCCTAGGAAAATTCTGGAAGGATACCCCAAACTTAACAAGGTATTTCCAGGGTGTGAGATTGAAAGGAAAGAAGTAGGTAACGTGGGGGCTTGCTTTAAAAAAAAAAAAAAACTTTGCCTACTTCCTCCTTGTTTGAATTTTTTAAAATAAAAATGTTTTTACTTGCATCATCAAAAGATTTTTTAGGAATTTGCCTAAAATGAAGGTAACATGTTTTTGGAGAGCTACAACATCCCAGGTCCAGGCGGGGTCCCGGTGGGTTAGCAATGAGAGGTCACTGGCTTGCTGACTAACAAGACCAAGGGGTGTGTGGGGTCTGGGTTTGGCTGGGGCTTCTTTGGTGTCACTCTGAGGAGGGGCCCCGGCAGACCCCTCGTCCGAAGCGGCCATCCCAGAGCTAATCCTGACTGTCCTCCTGCAGGACCAGCTGTCCCTGTAAGTACAGTTTTGTGGATAACAGCAAGAAACTGACAACTCGGCGTGATGTCCCCACGTATCCCAAGGTGAGAGGAAATTCAGGCCCTGGAGAAATGGCAGGTGTGCGCCCCCGGCTGGGCCCCCCACCCTCAGCCACCCCGACTTCCTGGCCAGGCCCCCTTCTGTCCGCACGTTTGCAAATGCAACTCCCACCCTGGCCCTGGGCTGTGCGACACCCGCTTGCCGTTCTCAGGCCCAGTACTTTTTCTCTTCACCGGGTGCTAGCCGCGGGGGCCCCCAGGCCGGCAGGTCATGGCCCCTCCCCGCTGTCCACCCCTCGCCCACTCGGTGAGGGTGTTCACACTCATACGTTACTGTAAGGAGCTTCCATTTCTAAAATCACCTAAAATCTGCCTCACTGGATCTCCTGTCCTGAACAGTGTGTAGCTATCATGAGAAGTTTTGCTTTTTCACCTCGAGAGGTTTCTCCATTGCAAGAGTCCAAGCCCTAGTGGAGGCCCCAGTGACCAGGGAGTTGGGCGGGTGGGCTTCAAACCACCACAGAGAAGGGTCTTGTGATGTCGGTCACTGTCTCGGCCATGCCTTCAGCTGAGTCAGCGAGACCCTGGCCTGGCAGACCGTCCACACACGCTTCCGCTAAGAGTCAGGCTTCTGTGTGCTGGCGCAGGGACAGGCTTCCCGGGCCCGGCGTGGGGCAGACCCGCCCCCACTGCCCACGGTCCTCGTGGGGACAAAGAGCTGGTTTTGGCTCAGGTCATGGTCTCAGGGTCCTGGGATCGAGCCCCACGTCGGGGGTCTGCACTCAGCGGGGAGCCTGCTTGAGATTCGCTCTCCCTCTGCTCCTCCCCCTGCTCTCTCTCTCTAAATAATAGTAATAATAATAATAATAATAATAAATAAATAAATAAAAAACCAAGCAAACCAAAAGACCTCGGGGAAGATTACATCTAATCCCCTAACACCATGACGGTCTTATATCTAAGATCACAGCCTATTTCCCACGACAGTTTGACCCAAACTCTGGCACTCCCTGATCCACACCTCCCAGCAAAGCTGCACCGCGTTAGCCTGCAGCCAAAGAAAGAAACTCCGAATAGCTTCTTAGCCAGTATTGGATCTGTGCCAAGTTAATTCTTTATCCTTGACTTCACTCTATTGTTTATTTAAATCGGGTTTACGAAGAGGTAATTTACCCGCAGTCAAGCTTGCCTCCTGCAGGTGCGGGACGCTGTGACTTTGGAGAGATTTAGGCAACCTCTGCACAGTCGAATGTGGAACATCTCTCCCCCCACAGCCCTCCTGGTGCCCCCGCCCTGCCTCTGGCAGCCACAGATGGGATGTCTGTCCCTGGAGGCTGGCCGTCCACAGAATCCTTGTAGAGTGTGGCCTTGGAGTCCGTGCGCAGGTGTCCTTGACCAGGGAACAGGAAACGTCCCCCACCCATGAGAGCTCACCAACCTTTGTCTCAGCCCAGAGCCTAACCGACCTCCTGTCCTTTCCAGTACCTGCTCTCGCCAGAGACCATCGAAGCTCTCCGGAAGCCCACCTTCGACGTCTGGCTCTGGGAGCCCAACGAGGTGAGTGAGGGGCCTGGTGCCAGCGTCACGGGGACCTGCCAGGGTCCCCCATGGCTTCGCCTGCTCTCTGACCTTGATTCTCCAGGTTTTCCCTCAGTCTGACTCTGGGTGGGCTCAGGGGGGCCCGGACGCAGGACTCAGAAAGGAGGGTGTCAGAGCAGAGGCGCGGGTGGTCAAGTGCAGGAAAGCTGGCCCCCCAAACCCCGCACACCCTCCTGGGCCAGCCGCCGCGCCCCGAGGGGAAACCCGGGAGGCGCCTCCTCAGGAGAGGGGCGGAGGGAAGACAGCTGTGTCTCAGCCGGAGGCTGCAGGGCTGGGGGTGCAGGACTCCTGCAGCAAGACCATTCTTCCAATTTCCCCTTTTGCTGAGAAAACACTAACGTGGAGATTTTTGTTTATTCGACCGAATCTAATAATATCAGTTGTACCCCTCCGTGTCTGAACCCCGAGAAAACAAAAGTCCCTCATCATGGACATGAGGCCCACCACATCTACGACTTCTCCAGCTTTCTGGTAAGGCAGACACGCAGAAAGGCCGCCCCCCTGCAAGCTCACCGCAGGGCGCAGGAAAGGAGAGATCTGCACCCTGAGCGGGCACCATCTCGCTCACCAGGGCCGGGGCCTCGGAAGTGTCCGGCTCTCGTGCTTTTGTTCCTGCACAAGACTGCTGCCCTGCCCACCCCACCCCCGCCCCACCGTTTGCTGGCCCGTGTCCCAGGGATCGTCCCATTGCAAACCCTGGACCGGACGACACGTGGACCCCAAATCATCCAGCCACCCAGGAGTGCGCAGGACTGGAGCGTGGGTTTAGGTGGGCAAGAAGCCACAGCGGAAGCCACCATGCCCGGGGGGGATAGGAGGTGGCATGGCCAGGAGAAACAGGGGTCAGGTCCTTGAAGACAAGTGTCAGGACCAGGGTCTGAACTTAGGACCTGGGCTGGGCAAGGCTTGTGCACAGGTGAGTGGGCACCCCGAGATGGCTCGGCGCGCACAGATTCCTGCTTCTGGCAGGTGGGCAGACGCCACTGCTGGAAATCGCTCCGGCTTCCGCACACTGGTAGTGAGAGCAGAGCCAGGTCCCCGATGGCAAAGCGCCTGCCTGGAAATGGGCACTCACTACCCGCTCTGTCTCCACCTCCCACGGAATCCCACTGGGGCCGGAGAGCCTGAAGGATTCACACACCCAGGAGGGGAAGGCCGCCTGCCCACGGCGTCAGCGCCTGGGGTGAAGCCTGCAGGTGGGCCCTGCCTCCGGGTGGGCTTCCCCCAGCGCATCTCAGTGCCCAGGGCAGGCTGCTCAGTGGTTCCGGGGTTTCCAGAGACGTTCTGCCAGCATGCGGCCAGGAACCAGAGATGCCCAAAGACAGGAGCCCTAGCCTCTGGCCAATCTGGGGGTGCCGTGGATTTGGAACTGTGGGCAGTGAAGGCCCCCCAAAACTGCATCTGGCCGCCCATGAAGCAGCTCACACCCTAGAATGCTGGGGCCCCCATTGGGGGATCACACCTCTTCCTTCGCGTGGGGGTATCTCTGTGCTCAGCACCCTCAGCCCCAGCAGGGTCCTCCGGCTCAGAGAGCAGACGGAGGCAATGGCTTCACGTTTCTTGTTCCCCGCTAGCTGACGTGTCAAGAGCTCTTCCCGGCATGGCCACCTCCCCGGAGCACGGGCCTTGCAGGCCGTGGGGCCCCGGCTCTCTGGCAAGCACCTGCAGCCTCCTCCACGTGGCCACCCGGCCCGGACCACCCAGCGGCTGCCAGCGTGGGAACGGGTGCACGAGGCGTCCCTCCCACTCCAGAGCTGTCGCACACGTCACAGAAGTGGGGCCAGATGGTCTCGTCTGCCCATCACCTCCAACTGTGGACTCCCGATCTCACCACCACCATCACGGCTCCTGGGGATTGCTGGAGCTGTGCACGCGTGCAGAGGGGAGCAAGGGGGCTGCAGGCCTCTGGCCCCGAGCGCCGGCATCCAGGGCGGTGGGCGCCAGCACCCCGAGCCGCACGCCAGGGCCCTGAACTCGTCCCCAGAGCCTGGCGCCCTGCGCGCAATGCAATCTGCATCCATCCCGTCCCCTCGAGGAGGACAGTCCATCCGTGACACTGCAGGCTCCCACACACGCCCACTGAATTCTTGGCGATGCCACGGGTCTCGGCTCCGTGGCATTCCTTCCACAGCCGTCTTGTGGACGCTCTAGGCACAGGGCTGGACATGCAGAGCCCATGCTCCCTGTGTTCCAAGCTCTCCCGGTGCCGTGTAACGAGGAAGACGGGTCTCCGGTGGCGTGCCCTGTAGCAGTCAGCTCGGGCAGCCGTAACATGAGCTACAGGCCAAGAAGGCGTCACTCACACCTGGAGGTCCGAGATCAGGCGTCGGCAGGGCGGGTGTCTCCCAGGCCCCTCTCCCTGGCGTGTAGACACCGCCTTCCAGGTCCTCACGTGGTCGTGTCCCTGAGTGCATGTCTGTTCTGGTCTCCTCTCCTCATGGGGACACCAGTGCTAGTGGACCAGGGCCACCCCGGTGACCTCATTTAAACCTTAATGAGTGTTTAAAGGCCCTCTGTCCACACAGTCATGTCGGGGGTTAGAACTTCAACACACTGATTTGGGGGCCACAGTTCAGTCCCTAAGACAGCTTTTTGGGAAGAGAAGGTCACACGGTGACCAGAGGCAGCCCGGGAGCGTGACCGCTCGGGCCCCAGACAGTTGGCGGAGGGGATGAGGCAGGGCTCAGGTGTGTGGCCCCGGAGCTGGGGAGCGTGGGCGGGTATCACGCCCCGTGCCACCAGGTGATGCCTAACGGTCCCTGCCTCGTGGATCTCCCGTCTTCCTGGGCACTGCATGCAGGACCTGCTTCCCAGAAAGCAGAGCCTGCGTTCTCAGACTCTCACTTTTTAATAAACATTCAGTCTTTCTTCCCTGGCTTAATTAGCTCCAGAGCTCTGAGCTGTATTTAAATAGATCACAACAATGACAATCAATCATCTTCGGGACTGAAAACAAAAGCTATTTTAACCTGAGCGAGATTCCCGTAGAAGACAGCTCAGTGACGGGAATGCGGCTTACCTTCCAGACCCCAAAACGAGCGCCTTACAGTGTGTGTCTGGTCCCCGCGGGCCGCACAAGGGCGCATGAAGCGCGCTGGGGACGCAAGCCACAGAGTCTCAGCGAGCACAGGGCGTCTGTGTCTGTGAAGGCACCAGCTCTCGGGCGCGCGCCCCATGGAACCGTGTCCCCAGAACCTCAGCCTGGCTTCTCGTGTGTCCAAGTTCAGAGTCACTTCGGACGTGGTCGTTCGGGGGTGCCCCCTCTCACCCAGTCGGTCCCTTCTTGCATGGAACTCCCTTGGCTTCTCAGCCCGGCTGCTCTTTCAAGCCCCCACATCCCTGCTAGGGGTCCCGAGATCCCCTCCCCCAGTCAACATGGCTTTGCTATCAGGGCCCCCGGGAGCAGAGGGCTCACCCTGTAGGGACCGGCGGGCCCTGCAGGCATCTCCCGGGATGCGGGAGAGGCAGCTCAGTCGGGCGGCCAGGCTGGCCGGCCCCGCCACAGACCACCCTTCTGTTCCTGTGTCCGCAGATGCTGAGCTGCTTAGAGCACATGTACCATGACCTGGGCCTGGTCAGAGATTTCTCCATCAACCCCATCACACTCAGGAGATGGCTGGTAAGTGCAGGTCCCCCCTGTCCCCCTCGAACACAGTGTCATCCAGTTACTAGGGAACAGACCACCCGGGCCCCTTCCTGGTGGCGTCCTACAGACGGAGGTGACGTTCCCATGAGTGCTCTGTGAGGACGTGCAGCCTGTCTCTGTCCGTCTCCCACCAAAACACTCAGTACCCCTAAGTTCCTGCTCTGGTGCTCAAGAAAATAGGAAGAACCAAGGAGGGGGCAGTGAAGTGAGTGTGCAGGTGCGTGCACGTTTATGGGGGGTGTCGGCCTGAGTGATGTGTGCGTGCATGAGTGTTCATGTGTGTAGGTGGGTGTGTGTGAATGCGTGCGGGTGGGTGTGAGTGTGCAAGTGTGGAGGGAGTACGTGTATGAGTATGTGAGTGTGTGTTCAGTAATTACTTTAAGTAAAATGTTGCTCAGAACTAAGTGTGAAAAGCATAGATGTTAAATATTAAAATATGAAAAGGTGTGATGAGGACCGGAACCCAGAGCCACTCCGATAGCCCCCCAGCCCTCCCCGCAGCTCCACGTCCCCGCGGGGCTCCTCAGAGCCCCTCTGGGGACACCTCAGTCCATGAGCCCAGGTGAAAGCCTACCGCCCACCTGCCCTCTGGCCACAGGGTGGCCAGTGGGACGTCCTCAGGTCCCCTTGGGCTGCCTCGCCCGTACCTCCAGCAAGCCCAGGAAGGCAGCTGGCCTCTGGGTCAGCCGAGGGTGATACAGAGTGCATCTGAAACACTAGCAGTCAGCTGGCAAAATGGGAAGGAGCTGCCCAGGGCAGCTTGGCGGGGAGGGCGGGCAGCACACGTGGGCAGCTGGGACCCTCTGTCTCTCGCAGCTCTGCGTGCACGACAACTACAGGAACAACCCTTTCCACAACTTCCGGCATTGCTTCTGCGTGACCCAGATGATGTACAGCATGATCTGGCTCTGCAGGCTCCAGGTGGGTCTCTGGAGGGCTCCTGCCGGGGGTGGCAGCACCTCGCTTGGGACGCAGCCCCCACCCGGGGTACAGGCTCCCCCACCCTCCTAGGGAAGCCACCCCAGCCCACCGTTGTCACCTGCCCTCCTGGCCCCACCCCCAGGCCAGCTGCTGAGGGGCTTCATCCTACCCATGTCACGCCTCTCCCCCCCATCCCAGCCCCCTCCTCACCCCATCCCACCCTCTCTCTGATCCAGGAGAAATTTTCCCAAATGGATATCTTGATTCTAATGACGGCAGCCATCTGCCATGATTTGGATCATCCAGGGTACAACAACACGTACGTACATGATTTTTCTCTCTTTTTCCTTTTAAAGGGCTCTCTGGTTATCAGAGTCACCTTTTCAGTTTAACACACAGACTAGCTCCAAGTTGGGGCTGCCGGCTAAGGCTTCACCAGCCCCCAGATCACCTCCGTAGGACACAGCTCCCACTCTAGGACTTGGCCCAGGGCCTCGGGCCACCCGGGGCAGAAGCTTCTGGCTTGCCGAGCCCCGAGGGGCTGCCACACTCCTTTGCGGTCCTGGTGATGCCAGTCCTGCCCTCTGCCTAAAGCAGGGCGTGCTGCCCACACACGATGCCCCGTTCTCTGGATCCCCCTCCCCCACCTGTTCCCAACAGGACCAAGGCAGAGAGTGAGTGCAGATGGGCAGCAGGTGGGAGGGGTCCACAGCAGGCCGTGGGGGCCGGGACGACAAGCCAGGCTTCACAGGAACAGTGATCCAGTCCCACTTCTGGGGGGACGAGGGCACAGAGTGCACCCCGCATAACTGCCGGGTCCCGGCCGCGTGGCACTGGTGTGCATCCCTGGTAATGCACCTGTCCTGGCAGGTGTGTTCGTGTGGTCCGACGTGGCCAAGAACTCACCATCACTTTTGATGGCAGGCCTCCGTAGTGGGGACAGCCGTGCTCCTCCAAGGAGGCGGGCACCGTGCGCATCCACCCCCTGCTTTCACACTCAAGATCATGTGCGAGGTACAGTCCAGCCAAGGGGTCATAGCCACAGCTGTAACATGAAGACACACCCGGTACCCCCCCCCCAAACGCCTGCCCTCTGCGCATACCGATGACATGTCGAGGGGCCAAAACGGAAGGCCTGATCGCCTTTGGGCACTGTCACTGGGAGCAGAGGAGGGGTCTCGGTGGCGTCCACCTGGTAGGGTTATAGGAAGGACCTTGAGGGCATCGAGTGAAAGGGGCAGCAGAGAGTCAGGAGAGCCCTGAGGAGTGTGTCCCTGGTACCACAGAAGGGGCCACAGCTCAACTCCCGGCCTCTGCTGGTGCCGCTGCTTCCCCGCGGGTGCCTGAGGCTCCGTGCGCTCTCTCCTTCGATGCCAGGTACCAGATCAACGCCCGCACGGAGCTGGCCGTCCGATACAACGACATCTCGCCCCTGGAGAACCACCACTGCGCCGTGGCCTTTCAAATTCTCGCCCAGCCCGAGTGCAACATCTTTGCCAACGTGCAGCCGGATGAGTTCAAGCAGATCAGACAGGTGTGCAGGGGCAAGGGCCCTCTGACTGCAGAGTGGGGGGACGGTGAGCACAACCCTGGGGCGGAACCCCCTTGCTCCAGTGGCTGAGGCCCCCACGCGCTCCCGGCCCCGCCCCTCCCCCCCAAGGCCAGTGCACCCCAGGGAGAGGCGAGCCCTCCGCACGGATACACGAGACCCCGCCAACCTGCATTTCACATCCCGAGTTTGACCGAATCCTTTGAGATTCGTCCTTTCTCCAGCCCGCAGCCGGGGAGAGTGAGGGTTCCGGAGCTTGGGTCACTCATCAGAGGTCCACAGTGAGTTCGTGCAGGCCCTGGACAGACCCCCCTGCTGCATCCAACCTGGCAGAAACCTGACTGCTTCCCGAACCCCCCACCTCAACTTAGCCCCACCACCCACTTCAGATAAGGGATGCTGGGGAGGTGACAGCACCCTCCTGTCCTGAGACCCACACTTCCCACCCACTGCAAGTAACGCACCCTTCCACGCAGGGGGTCCCCGCTGAGCTCAGCTCCGTGCACCCCCTCTGATGTTTCCAGGGGAGGGAAGAGACCGGAAGGGCCTCTTGGAGGAGTAGGTGGGTTGAATGGAGCCCCCTTTGCCAAAGAAATTGTATGTTCCCTTCCTGACCCCCGGAACCTGTGAATGTGACTCGACTCGGGAAAAGAGTCTTTGCTGGTAGTAAAGTTAGAGCTCTGGAGGAAATTAGCTTGGATTACCCCCGTGGGCCCTAAATCCAATGACAAGTGTCCTCAGAAGAGACAGAAGGGGAGACATACATGGAAGAAAAAGCCGCATAAAGCAGAGGCAGAGGCTGGAGTGACGTGGACCCAAATCAGGCAGTGCCTGGGGCCACCAGGAGCAGGAAAAGTCGGGAAGGACGTTTCCCCAGAGCCTTGGGACTTCTGGCCTCCGGACTGTGAGAGGGGGCCTTTCTGCTGGTCCCTGTCACCCAGCGAGTGGCACCTCTACGGCAGCCTCGGGACATACGAGCCGCGGGCCATGTTCGTGTGGAGGGGCCACGCTCTGCCGTCCCACGGATGACAACCTCACCCGCTCGATGCCTCGGGGCCTGGCTTCAAGGTGCACCTGAAAAAGACACGGGAATCCCGGGATCCGGGCTCTCCCTACCGGAGGTCTGAAAAGCTTCACTCTGTCAGAGAGCAGCCCCGTAAACTGTTGTCACCCATTGGCCATGCTTCCAGGAAGCTCAGAGCTCTGGGTGGTGCCGAAGGTCAGTCACTAGCAAGTCACCGATTCCCAGCACAGCTGTGTGCCCTTTATCTGTGGGCTTTCCCGCTCTCTCCCCTGCTCTGGAGCACCCAGGATGAGCCAAGGCGCATCTTTCTCAAGTGGGAAAGGGGCAGATCATGGAGAGCCCCCAGCGGCAGCCCGGTGAGGAGCTCCTGCAGGGACCATAGCAGCAGGTCCCTCTCATGCGTGACCCGCCCGTGCCCGCCCCCCGGGAGTGGTCAGAGCAGGACCCGCCCACCAGGGGGACACAGGAGGCTTGTCCTGCCTCAAACACATGACTGACGTGAAAATGAGACTTTCTGGGCATAAAATCAGTTGTCCCAATTTTTTTTAAGATTTTCTTTCTTTATTTAAATAGAGAGAGAAACTGTGAGCTGGGGGAGGAGCAGAGGGAGAGGGAGAAGCAGACTCTGCACCGAGTGTGGGGCCCGACGTGGGGCTTGATCCCAGGACCCCGAGATCACGACCTGTGCCGAAGGCAGATGCTTCACCGACTGAGCCACCCAGGCGCCCTAGTTGTCCCAATTTTTAATAATATCTTGTCATTGAGTGTGTTTAGGGATGAATCCTCACAGGAGTGGCCCCTTCACTAGTAACACGATGAAATCTTTAAAAGAAACTGCAGAATTCAAAACGCCAGGGATGTTCCCCTCCCCCAGAATACATCTGAGATGATCCGTCTCCACTGATTTCAGTTCCATCCCGGATGCTGTAGTTCTGTGTTCTGGGGAAAGCACACTCTGTGCAGTGCAGAGCTGTGTCCTTATACATGTTTTTGGGGTGCACGGACGGTCACGGCTTCGAATCATGTTACTTCTATTAAACCAATATTTGGTTAACAAGATAATAAAATATTTATATTTTAAAAATCACTACATTCTTGGGGCGTCCAGGTGGCTCAGTCGGTTGAGCGTCCGACTCTTGATCTCAGCTCAGGTCTTGATCTCGGGGTCGTGAGTTCAAGCCCCGCGTTGGCTCCACACTGACCGTGGAGCCTACTTAAAAAAAAATTTTTTTTTTAAATCATTGCATCCTCATTTACAAATGTGTTAGCAGAACAGTGCTATCAAATACAACCTGACTTTGATCGCTCCCAAGCACGAAAGGCACAGATTGGATAACAGAAAAAGTCTCCTGGAAAATCGGGTAGTGACCTCCAGCGACGTGATATGAAAGGAACAGCCATATACCTGGATTCCTGGATGGAGGGGAAGCGTTGCTCCTTGGCTGAGACAAGCCGTCACAGGGAAGCATGGTGCTGAGCCTGCCACCTGCAAGCAAATGAGCCTGGCGGGCCTGAGGGGGCTGCCTCCTCCTGGACTCAACATTCAGGGCTCGCCCGCAACACACGCGTGGGTTTGAATCCCCAGCCTCCACCTGCCAGCCGTGGCCTGGGAGGCTCCCCAGCCTCCTCAAGGCTCTGCTTCTGCATCTTGAAAATGAGGACACTGATTCTCAGAGACACACATCAAGTTGGCACGAGGACTAAGTGGGACACTGTGCGCGGAGGGTTCGGCATGCAGTCAGGGCTCACGGAGTGATGCTGGGACGGTACCCAGGGTTAACATTTTGCTTTCACTTTTCAGGGGATGATCACATTAATTTTAGCCACTGACATGGCAAGACATGCAGAAATTATGGATTCTTTCAAAGAAACAATGGAGAATTTTGACTACAGCAATGAGGAGCACGTGACCCTTGTAAGTAGCTTGTTTTAGCTAGTTCGGGGGCTGGTGCGTGTGTCCCACCCTCCAGCCCAGACTGGAAACCGAGAAACCCCAACCCTTGCCTTGGCTTGGAGCGAGGCATGATTAGAGTGGGCACACAATCACAGCGCTTACCTGAAAGGCCCCCAGCGAGCCCATGTCCCAGGTAGAGGTGGCTTTTCTGATTCCTGCATCTCGTTCTGACTTGAAGGTGGTGAGTGGGTGAAGGCAATCCATCTTGCTCTGGTTTCCTGAGAACAAAGCTGGTCTTCCCATGAAGGCACGGCCCCAGAAAACACCCTGCATACCAGTTTCTGGGTGGGCAAGTCAGGGACCCGCAGGGCCCCTTCCCAGCTCACCCCTCCATGAGCAGGGGCCGAGCATCCAGAGAAGGGGAGCGGATCTCTCCAGTGAGGAGAGCCCACCTGGGTCGGCACCGTGCCTGCCCTTTTAAGAGAAAAACATGGAAACGTCCTTCCCAGTCTTCAGGGAAGGGGTGATGCTGAGCCTGGTCTGGGTGTGAGGCCTGCTTTCTGGCATTCTCTCTCCTTTAAAATTGATGGCTCCTTTCCATTCCTAGAAGCCGGTGAACAAGGACAGCTCTCTGAGATCTGGCTGACCTTCTATCCATCCTGTCTCCAAACCTGAATTACAGCTAACACACAAAGTGTGTAGGGAAGGGCCTCGCATTTTCCATAAGTAAACAACAGGAGAAAGGGCCTCCCAAGGCATCCCTTCATGGGGCTGAACATGGGGAGATGCGGTCATGTTGGAGGGACAGCCTTGCTCCTGAAACACCAGCGGGGTGTGGGGGATGCCGCCTGCCCTCCACAGCAGGGCGAGGAGGAAGAACGAATAGGCTGAGCCCCTTTGGAGCCTCCATGTTCCCTCTGACACATAAGGAAAGGCGCTCAGGGGCAGGAGGCCAGAAGTCTTGCTGCCAGAGGCCAAGCGGTCAGGATGATGACCATCACACCTTTACTCCCTCACTCCAACTATTCAGGCAAGGGAGTGCCCTCCGCCCCACACAGAGTGAGGGTCCGTGGCCTGCGGCACAGACTAGGGGATCGTGCCTTGGCCGAGGAGCCCCAAAAGCACCCAATTCCTGATGGACATGGGGACTGGAGGATGTAGAGGGAAAGGCCCAAGAGTGGAAAGGTTCTGGGTCAAAATGGATTCTAGGACCTCAGCCGAGGCCCCCAACAGGAGGCCTGGGGGCAGTGCCCCGTGTGGCCACGGCCTGAGATCCTGGCACAGCTCCCTCCAGTACGCAGTGCCCAGGCTGTGCCCCGGGCCCGGTGTGGGGCAGCTTCCCTCAGAGTCCTGCCGAGCAAGGCCCTATAATGGCCTGTGTTCTGGAGTCAACTCCCAGAGCAGACAAGGAAGGCCTGGATCGACTCCCGGGCACTGATAAGGAAGGGTGGTGACCAGGGACAGGGAAAAGGGCAGCCAGGTCACCCTGAGGTTCAGCTGGGGCTGTGCCAGACGCTGAGCTGATTGGAGAGGTGCTTTGCCGAGTTAGGCTCCCCACCCGCCTCCTGCAAGACTGGGTGCAAACAGCCCGGGCCCACTCAGAGGGCCCAGAGCCCACGCTGGTGTGCCCGGGGGGACTTTGGTCACCTTCAGACCCTGAGCGGTGGCCCACGCTTTGTCCCGGGACGTCGGTGACCCCTGGGGACAGTCGTGTGTGGCAGCAGGGGGCCTTGCTGGGTGACACCATCTGGCGCTGGGGGGGCCAGGAAGGCTGGAAGGAGGGGCCAGAGCAGGCCTGGAAGGCAGTGGGCAGCAGGGGGAGGCAAGGTTTCTGCAGGCTGGTGGCTTGAGCAGAAGGTGCAGGGGCCCCGGGCAGAGCGCGCCAGCTCACAGGGGAGACACAGGCCTGGGAGCACTGGGCAGAAGCCCACACCACCTTCGCCGCGGTGTGATTTTTCTGACTCCAGGCAGGAGGGGCAGGTGCAATCAGAGCTCAGCCCAGTGGATGCCCTTGGGGTCACGGGCAGCCCTGCAGGTGCCACTCGTGCTCGGGGGGCATGCGGTGCCCAGGGGAACATCCCCCACCCCGAGATTCTGTGAGGGACCTTCCTCTGATACACTCACTGCTACCAGGGGTCCCACCACCACCCCTTTAACCTCTGCCTGCTAACGGTGACTTCTTTCTATGTTTTTGTGTGTCCTCAACAAGCAAAAAGATCCTTTTAAACTTCACGATTGAAGTTTGTATTACAAAACGTGTCTGTGTTAACAGACTTTTCTACTCCTCAAGCCCCCCAAACAGATTCTGATCCCGTGGGGGTTGGTGAGGCCCCCGTTCTCCCGGGGGTGGCTGGGGGTCTAGACGCAGACTGCCAGCACACCTGCCCAGAGCGAGCCCGCGGCGCCGTGGACACAAGCAGCACAGCTCAGCCCCCGTTGGCCAGCAGCGCCGCCCTCCATCCCCCGGGGCGGCAAGGCCAGACCCAGACGGCAGGAGTGGGACGTGCTCTGCGCTCCGTGCCTGATCCCAGATCTCTCTTCCAGCTGAAGATGATTTTGATAAAATGCTGTGACATCTCTAACGAGGTCCGTCCAATGGAAGTTGCGGAACCTTGGGTGGACTGCCTATTAGAAGAGTATTTCATGCAGGTAAGAGTGTCCCCCACCCACCAGCCCCCCCGGCCGCTCAGCTTAACCCCTTTACGGGCTCTGTGTTGGAAAGGCGACAGGCGTGCCCAGGGGGACTAGTGGAGTGGATCACAGACGATTTCTCCAGCCTCCAGGAAGCCCTTACAGCAGGTGCACCTCCAAGATGAACGGGTACAACCTGACACAGGGAAGACAGGGGCAGCCTGGGAAAGCGAGCACTGAAACCCGCCCCCGTGACCAGTGCGCAGCTGGTAGGGCGGACGAGTCAGGCCAACGGCCTCAAAGAGAAGCAGCAGAGGCAGGAGGGGCCCCCAGGGATGGGTGAGACCACGCAGGTCAGCCGACGCTCAGAGAACCCAGCGTGGGGAGGATGCTGGCGGGCCGGCGAGGTGGGCCCCAGGAGGAGGCCGGAGTCCTGTAGGCCCCCTCTGCCTCGGAGCCAGCCGTGCCTGTCCCTGCGCCCTGTCCTCACGGCTGGCCCCCCACACCCTCTGAATGCTTCGGTGGCCACAGAAGATACCGCTCCATTCCTGTCGCTACCTCCACCCCCACGGCAGAGTGGTCTGGTTGGGTGAACGGGGCACGGAACATGCCCCATGCCCTCAGAGTCCAGAGTCCACGGATATCTCTAACACTGCGGCCCACTGCATCCCCCAGAGCGACCGCGAGAAGTCCGAGGGCCTTCCAGTGGCCCCTTTCATGGACCGGGACAAAGTGACCAAAGCCACAGCCCAAATTGGGTTCATCAAGTTTGTCCTGATCCCGATGTTCGAAACGGTGACCAAGGTGAGTGACTGTCACCACATGCTGAAGACGCATCGAGAGACACACACTTGTGCACACACACTGGTTCACATGCGCGCCCCTGTGCGGTGTGAGGTGGGACCCGAGGCCCCTCCACCAGCATCCCGGGGGCCCTCACCCTCTCGCCTCCCCATCTCACCCCTCCTAGCCTTCTGGTCTCCGTGCCCCCTGGAGCCGCCCCAGGCTCTCCACTCCCAGGGCACCTCTGCCTTCAGAAGAACCTCCTAACCTGCCCCACTCTACCTGCCACTCGGCCATCCCCAGGCTGATTTCAGCAAGGAGACCATCCCTGCCTCTCTCCTGAACCTTCCAGGGCTCCCCATGCCCCCAACACAGGGAGGGCTGCCCCCCTTGTTGCACGCAGTCCCCTGCCGTCCTGGGCACGCCTGTCTTACAGGACGGCCCTCAGCTCCTAGTCCTCGCCTTTCTTCACGCCTCCACCTCTGAGTGCGCCCGTTCAGCTGGCCCCAGGCCCATGGCACCCGCCAGCCTTCCAGAACCATCTCGGCGCGTCCTCCCGCAAACCCCATTCGCTGCTACTTCTCTGGGGACTCGCCTCCCTGTACATTCCTTGCACGGACTTCCGGGCCTTTGTCACGGCCAGCGGGTGCGGGGGCGCAGGACTGCCACGTGGGCCCTGCCCTCCCCCTGCAGTAGAACCGGGCTGTGACGGGGAAGCGCAGAAGGCATGGGGGGCATTCCAGGGCCGAGAGCTGCATGCGCAGGATCCCCCAGGGTGGGGATGGCAGGGTGGCGAAGGCCACACCACCAGAACCGTCTGGTTCCTCCGGCCACAGGGCTGTCAGGAGACTAGAGACGAGGCTGGCGTCTGGACAACAGACATTCGGGGACAGGCAGGCGGAGGGCAGGGCCATGTGAAGTGAGGACAGAAACAGCAGGACCCGGAGGTGGGTGGGAGGCAGGTGTTGGGCCTGCGGGTCTCCAGGAGCCGCTGACCAGACGGCCTCAGGACAGGGGTCACCGGGGACCCCGCTGCAGGTGGCGGCCCAGGGGCTCCGAGGACACTTGTTGTGTGGTCCCCTGGCCCCCCGGTTTCCCAGACGCTTGCCGCCACTTCGAGAATGATGGACCGTGAACCTGTCTGTCTCTCCCAGCTCTTCCCTGTGGTGGAGGAAATCATGCTCCAGCCTCTCTGGGAATCCAGAGATCGTTACGAGGAACTGAAGCAAATGGATGACGCCCTGAGAGAGGTAACAGGTGCCACGTGGGGAAGGCGGTAGTCCTTGTGGTGCTCGGCGGGAGGGCCCTCTGCACCAGAGTTCATTTCCATTCCCCCTAAATCCAGACCCTGGCAAACCAGGGCACCTTTACTCTCCGTGAAACCAAACTGCCCTGATGCTCTGCACCCCTCGGAGGGGTCACGCCGTCCCCAGCCCTTGTGCTGTAAACGGATGCGTCAGGGTCTCTCCACGTCTCAGACCCCCTCAGAACAGCACCCCGGCCCCATGTGCGTCCCTGTCCTCCTCCTGGCCCCGGGGCTGACCTTGCTCAGTGACAGGGCAGTAGGACAGGTCACTCCCTGCAGGACAGAAGCCACCACCCGCATCCCGGAGCTCACACATGGTGGCTCGGCCCACTCAGGGTCAGGGAGACCAGGCCTCGCTTTAGGTTGCTGTGAGGCCTGGTACTATGTCCAGGGCAGGTCCAGCTCACATGCTCACAGCCGGGGTAGAGGCGTTCTGCACGGTCTGTGAGCGGGTCTGGCCACGCCAGGGCCTTGGTGTGTGTACATCTCTGCTTTGGGGACCCCTGCCCCCGGAGACCATGCAGACACCCCCCACACCTGATAGCCAGTCACCTGGAGTGGGCCTGGCCTCGGCCGTGCCACACACCCCACCCCATACTGTCTCCACCCCTCCTTCAGTCAGGGCCCCCCAGTTATGGTGCCCCCCAGCCTTGCTGCTGGGAACCCCCATGCCCCACTGAGCGCCAGGTGGTCTCCCAAGTGCACTGTGTTGCTCTCATCCCCCCAAACTGCTGTGTGTACAACACCAGGCATATCATCAGTGCTCAGGAGCTGCCTACTGGTCCATGGGCATTCCAGACCCACAGCTGGTTCCGCTAGTTGGATCCCTCTACCAGAAGGTCACCGAGAGGTCCTGAGCCTCCAAAGCCTACAAGCAAATGGTACAGAGAGCGATGTCCGAGCAGATGTCCCTGGCAGGCCCCCCAGCAGGATTGCTAAAGCACCTTGGCATTCCTGGGCCCCCCGAGAGCCATCGCTATAAAGGTCCCAGGCCTGGCCACCCAGCGGGGGCCACTCGGAACCCCAGGATGCTTTCCTACCCCCAAAAATGACAGACACACAAAAGAGAAAGGGCCGGGGCTCCGTGCTCACCCCCGCCAGTCCACTGGGCTCTGCAGCCTGGACAAGCTAGCAGTCCAAGCTCGGGACTGTGGCCGAGACGGAGAGGCCTCCCATAGCGGGGAAGGTGGCGGGCACACAGACTGTGCTGCAGACATCCGTCTCCGTGACACATTAGCATTTCACTCAATGGGAAGCTCTTTAGCAGATAAGCAGGGACTCACGGGCTCCTGGAACCTGATTGTCCCCTACTCTGTCCTACTTACAGAAGACAGAGAGCCTGACATCCGGGCACACCGACCCGCCCAGAGAGGGAAGCAGAGATGTGAGGAAAAGTGAAGATAATGCCATCCTGAATTGACGCCTCAACGCATATGGTAATTCAGACAAAACAGGGCAGCAGTGAAGAACTGTAGGGGCGGCGGGGAAGATATAAGGTGGGGAGGGCAGAAAATCCAAATGGCTGATGGTTTTGAAGTAAGTGAGACTTTGATTCCTTGCCTGTAATTCATAGAATTTGGCTCTGAAGGAAGGGGGACATGCTTTGGCTGATAGCACAAGATCGGTCACGAGCCTACGGGCCACTTACAAGGAAAAGCACGTTGTGACAGCTTCCCAGAAATGCAGTATCGCTCAGACGGCTGTGAGCATTTTCCAAGCACTTGACGGTAGCTGCTCGTGTGGTCCGTGTCAAAGGCAAACCAGCCCCTTCGGTCTGAAGTATCACTGGAGAGATTCTCAGTTACACAGCGTGCCAGGCGCAGGGCATGGGACGTGGGGTCTGATTTTGTGCAGAGGAGTAGCAACAGGCACAGGCACCCAACAGTCCCAGCTTAGTTTAGGACAAGCTGAGTGACCCGCCCCAGCGTCTCAACCTCTCTGAGCCTCAGAGCCTGAATCTCTCCACTAGCGGGGATAATACGATTACTATTGTTGTTTTGTCCGTTAAACGAACAGAACACCGGACAACCCCAGGAGCTTGTAACATTGGTGTTTCGTTTTTCAGGCACATCCTATTTTTTAATGGTTCAGAAGAGGGATTGAGATTGTTTTATTTGGCCTAAATGTGTTCAACAGCGTGTGCAGTTTTTAAGCATCATCTGCACGTCATCCTGGGACGTCTGACAGCACCTGCACATTTTCAATCCCCACAGAAGCTTTCTCCCTCTTCCTTTTCCAAGCAGACGGAGCCTGAAGACGGCAGGACAGTCCAGGCCGTGGTTCTGGACCAGGCTGGAGGAGCCGGAGCCTCGTGGGAGCCGACCGTGCAGCGAAAAGTTGACTCTGAGCGCCTACTCCGCCAAGACTGCGTTTTCTAAGAACTGTTTTGTTCACTGATACAAAAAAAAAAAAGGGAATTCATGATGCTGTACAGAATTTTTATTTTTAAACTGTCTTTTAAATAATATATTCTTATACAGAAACGGGTACTGTACTTTTTCTTTGGTAATGCTGTGTATCCCGGGGCTGCTTCTGAGAGTCCCCAGAGTCCCCCTCAGCTCTCCCGCAGAGACAAGGAACTGTGCTTTCCCCGCAGATGTATCTTAGAACAGTTTTCCAGTGTGATGTGATGCTCCATCCCGTGTAAATTCAAATTAAATCTCAGGCGGTGCCCGGAGCGTGTCCTGTTTGTGAGCATCGAGGGGATGTTGGTGGCTGTTCGCGGGGAGGCATGGGGCCGGAGGCTGCTTGGTCAGACATGGGGGTGAACACACCACCAGGCCGGTGCCCGTTTACAGGGAGGTGGGCATTGAACACCTCAAACTGCAGATTATACTCAGCACATTTGAGGGTCTCCAGGGAGGGGAGCTCTCCCTTCTTCCTGCCTTTGTTTTGGGGATAAGCATGGGGACACATTCGAGGTGGCCCTGTGCCCATGAAGGGAGACCCGACCCCCACTGGTGGGCAGTCAAGCTCTGAGGGGCAGCACACACCCGAGCCCTCCCCCAACGCCTCGCGTGTGTTCAGACCCCTCGATGCTTCCCGGGCCGCGCACACCTCCTCGGCCCCCTCTCCGCACGGAAGAGGCTCCGCTCTGAAGAAGTCTGTAAAGGCCGCCGCATAATCTGCGCTCTGTGGGCATTTCATCTGGTGTTGATTAGTGTCCTCCATGCATTCATTCTCTCTCGGCGAATTCCAGAGCACTACTTTCCATCCGTGAATAATTCATCTTCTGCTGTGACATTTTCCATCACTTCTTGATTCCAGTTCAGTATGAACGGCAGCTTCGGTGACAACAAACTCAGCAGGCATCCAGATGATGATGCACTTCGGCCCACACGCCGCCCTGCACGCGAGGTTTGTGACCTGCTCCCCCAGTGAAAGAGCTCTCTGACCAGTACCTCCCACCTGCTGAGTTGTGCTGAATGCCCACCTCGCCACACTATGCCCCTTGTCAAACTTCACACAGCGATGACTGAATTCAGAGCTTGTGCACACACACACATAACCACACACATATGCATGTGTATACAAGTGCACACGTCCATGCACAGAGACACACAATCACATGTACACCGGTGTACACACACACACACACATAAACCCACTCTAACACACTGTGTACATTACGAGGCTGAGGTCATACCAAGTCCTGGAACAGGGAAATCAACATCTCGGAGGAAGGAGTCCGTAAGGAGAGCACCTCTGTGACAGTCCCCACCCTTATGTGGCAGCCTGGTTTCCGTCAGTAGAGACCTCACAAACTGGCACGAGAGCATCAGCCCCCCGCAAAATGCTTCCTCCAACCTCCTGCCTCCAGAATGCTTACGTACTGGGGTCATTCGCACCACATCAGCTGAGCCCATGGGGGTGACGCAGCCCCAGCATGAGTCATCCTCCATATGGACATGGCCCCTCCCTTTACCGCCAGCCAGCCTCTGTCACATGGATGGGGGCCCTGTCACCCAGCTCAGCCTGCTCACCCAGAGCCTGGAACAGCCCTGCCCTGGGAGACTGCACACACGGGGGCTAGGTCAGTGACGGTATCAGCACTGGAGGCTGGGGGGGGGAAGATGTGGCCGAGTGTCAAGTCAGCGTGAAGGATAAAATGTCCGGAGCTGCGCTGCCCATCGAGGGACACACACAACGCCCTGCGCTTTCCAGAACTTGATGGAGCCAGCTGATGCCACGGTCCCACAGGACTGCACCTTCCTGCAAACCAGCTACGCCTCTGTCACCCTGTGTTCACTCGAGGGGACAACAACATGCTGTTCTCCATGTTTTTCTCCCCCCAGATTTCTAGCAATTGAAGGAGTGATGCATGTGTCAAAAATTGGACCTGACAGACCCCACACATCTTGCTCCTAAATGTCATGCACCAGCTAGGCACTGGAGAGGTGCTGCCTTGGGATGCAGCCCCCCGCCCCGTTTCTCCCCCTGCCGAGTAGAAGGCCAGCACTGACCTCGAGGGTGAGGAGAGACAAAAGGAGAAATGTCTGTCACTCCCACCTGGGATGGGGACCCCAGGGCCCGACGCCCCACACTGCCTGTCCTGTGTCTGACCACAGGCACCTTGCAGCTTCCTCCCATCATACCGTCCAAAGCCAACATGACAGTCTGCCCTTGCTGGCATCTTTAACCAAATCACATCGGAAAATCAATTCCACGTGATGCTTGAAGGAACACCAAACATACAAAATACTTATCTCCGATAAACAGCCACTGGCGTCCGGTGGCCTCTGGTACAGAGGAGGAACCGTTCCACACGGCCGGGGGCCACGGAGCTGTCCCGCTGCATTCCCCGCCCCCCACCCCGCAGGAAATGCCCTACTCCGTTCTCGCTCCATGGCAGGTGCGGGTCCCACCGCGGGAAGGGCTGACGAGGGACAATGTGTCCGGCTGATGCGCTAGCCAAGAGGCTCTGCTCTGGCTCACTGCTTTTCCAATATCACCATAGGAGAGTTTTTAAAAGTTTAAATCACAAGAATTTAACTGTAGTCTCTCTAAGGGGCAGATAAAATTGCAGCTCTGGATTTGGGGGGCTATTTTTGATCAGTAGCTAAGAGGAGCTGGGTGCGGATGTTAGGGACTCACACAGCAGCCCCCGTGTCCTCAGCAAGTTTTCCCAGCCTCACTGCCAGCCCTGTGTCCTGTTGGCTGATGAATGCAGGAAGCCAGGTGAAGATCTGATGAGGCAGCATCCACATCGGGGCCTCGGTGTGACAGGGGCCCTGCAGCCCGGACAGGTGGTGGGCTTGTGAGGCTGGGGTGGGCGGACAGGGCCGCCAGGCGGTGCATTGAGATGGGGGCAAGGCGGGGCCTGGGCGGCAGGCCTTCTGAAATGTGTCTGTGCAGAATGGCCACATGCAGAGGCCAGAGGCCAGTGAGGGAGACACCCCGTGTCATCAGGAAGAGAGGGAGGTGGGTTCGAGGGGCCGAGGGGCCACTAAGGCAGTCACTTAACAACAAGGGGGGATGTCCACCTGCGGTCACCACCAAGTGAGCTTGACCAGTGGTGACCCAGCCCTGTTGTGCACTAGCCTTCCCTGGCTCGGACGCACAGGAGGAAGCCTGGCTCCCGGTGAAGTCCCAACAGCCCAGAAGTTGGGCTGGGGTGACTTGAACTGTTCACAGACAGACACCCTACACAAAACGATCTCCCAGGACCACACGCACCTTAGGAGCAGCACTGGTGATGTACGCACTAGGAACTCAGACACTGGCCAACTGAATGAGTGAGTCTGAGTGTGTGGTCACTAACCTACAGAATCATGTAAGAGGGAAAAAAATCACACTGCAAAATGTGTGTGCGCGCGCTCACGGTGGGGGACGGGGATACTCTTGCAGGTGTGCGTAGTTGTGTGAGGCTGTGTGTGCGTGCACATTTATAAGCATATGTGTGCCTCTTACGCACCTGGCCTTGCTTCCAGCTGAGAAAGGAAGTTGAAAACATGGAAAGATGCGAGTTTTCGTGCCTGGCTTGGTTTGCAGACCCAATGCACAAGGAATCTTTGGGCTGCGTTAAGGGAAAAGGGACAGGCGTGGAGGAGAGGGACGCTGCAGCCAGACGGGGCACGGAAGTATCCTGCAGCATCCAGAAATTAGTCAAGGCAGGGAGAACTCCGGACTGATTTCGACTGTTTTCCTGGAAAGTTATTTTACAGAAAACTCAAAATGCACTGGGCGTGCCAACTGGAATGTAACAGAAGGCCATACGAAGCAAATGTGGCTGGCTGACCAGCCTGCGTGTTCACAGTGCTGCTGGCGGAGGCCCAGAGTCGCCCATTAAAGAACTGATGTGCGTCCGCCGGGTGCTGGTCGACCCAGAGGAAGTGGCCAGCTGCACACACGCAGCGGCCACCACTCTGGAAACGCCCGCTTGCCGCCGGCTGGATACATGCAGCGTGCCGACCATGGTTTCCCGGTTGGAAGGAACCACACAGAACCGTTCTTTCTGTTTATACATCGCCCCCCGCCTCGGACAGGCCCGTCCACCCTGAATGGTAACCCGGGGAGGCCCGCCGAGCTAGCCTCCATCTTCAGCAGCCCGGCCGCTAACATCCAGCCGGGACTGCTCCTTCCCTCCTGTGCTGGTCCAGCATCTGCCGTCCCCAGGGAGGGTCATCCAGAGGCCACCTGTTCTGCAAAGAGCCTGGCAAGACTGCGCTTGAACCCCTCTGGGCTTCTCTACTCACCGCCTACAAGCGCTCCCCGCCTTCTGCGTGAGTGTCCTGTGGCAGCCACCAACATAAACAACAGAGATTCTGTCACGCTTCAGGAGGCAAAAGTTTCAAAACCAAGGTGTGGGCCAGGCTGCGCTCTGGATCCAACCTCTCCTCTTCCTGATTCTGGTGGCTACCAGCGGTCCTTGGCAGTCCTGGGCTTGTGGCTGCATCGCCCCAATCTCTGCCTCTGTGGTCACATGGCCTCCTCCCTGCATGTCTCTGTGTCCAAATGTACTTCTGCTGTGGGGACACCAGTCACTGGATCCAGGTTCAGCTTACCTCCGGGCGACCTCATCCTAACTTTATTATATCTGCAAAGACCCTATTTCCAAACAAGTTCACATTCACAGGTGCAAGTCGTCATGATCTTTTGGGGGGGACACAGTTCAACCCCCGACACCCACCCTGGTCAGCTTTCCCATCTGTCTCTGCCTCTCCCATTGTGTGGTTAAACACACGCATGCCGAGCGCTCGGCACGATGTCTGGCTCTCAGCTCTGCATAAGCAGCAGGTCCCCCCAGGAGCCTGCCTCTCCCCCCAAGGGTGAGGTCATCAGTGTCCCATGGCCATTACTGACATGCACCACCGG